TTGATAACTTAAAACAACTCATTCTCTCTGCACAAAGAGAGAGATGGAAATGACTGTTTTACTGCACCCTCTGAGGCATTTGTTTGAAAAATGCAATTAACAAAGGAAGCCGGACTTTTTCAAGGTTTCATCCTATAGCAGGATAATGACCCAAAAAAAACCCACCTCCGGGCTGTGTAGAAGAACAGAACAAGACTGTAGCTTAATACAGTGTCCAGACTCTTCCAGTGCAACTCATTGGTGTGAACTTCTGCAGCGGTCCATCCAAACAATATTTGATTTCTGTTGTAGAATGAACACCACAAGCGTGTTTGGCTGTTTAATTTCACAGTCTGTCAGTGGTGATGATGATTCATTGTCTGTTCAATTTATAGATTTGGTGTTAAACTTCAAGAAAAAAAAATTGCTGGTGAATGTAAGTAACACCTGAGCCAGAAAGATAAGTTGAGCTCAGTTCAGTGGCAACAGTCAAGCAGTTGTGCTGTTCACAGAATCATATTTTTCAGATGTGCCAACTCCATTACCATAATGTGTTTCATTATTATTTATCCCAGGCCATTGGAGGCTTCATTAGGTGCAGGCTGATGCAGTACACAGGCTCTAAATTTAGCTGCTTTTTATTTATTCAGAATAGCCACGTGTTAGAAGGTATACCCGTTTGCAAGGTTCTTTCACAGCAGCTTAGAGACATGTTGAGGAAAGAGAGGTGGGCTGGTCTGGAGAGAAATGGACCTCATTCTACCTGTCATACCCACCAGACATCTGCCTCTCTTCAGCTCTTTGAAGCCTCTGTAATTCCAGTGTTCGGGATTAAACCCATGACAAAAGGATGAAAAGTGATGGAGCAACAGAAGGAGATGTCCTAAGAGAGAGCAAGCGCCTTTGAAATATGTTTTGTGAAACCTAAATGAGTGCCCCAAGATGATTGTCCTTCCAGTCTGAGAAAGTTGCTTTGTCACAGCATGTTTGATTGGAAATCAATGGAATCAAGTAATGTTCTGTCACAGAAACCACTTACATGATCCACCTTTTGTGGAGTCTCTCTGTACGGTCTGTATCATGGCCAGCAGACAGTGGACATAAATTCAGAGGGGGGTAGTTGTGCATCAACTACTGTTCATATTTACAGTTGCACTTGGAATTTATACAGTATGGTCTTTTCTTATGTAGAAAAACAGAAAATAACTGCAATATTAAGCAAACAACTGCAGTGTAATTTTAGATATTTCTGTATGGGCACAGGCCTGCTGTAGGTTTCATTTACTGTATGTACAGGAGCTGCTGATGAAGTTCCTAAACACCAGATATTCATGTCAGGTTTTTCTGTGAATTACAGAAAAACACACTAAAGGTTATTTGAGGATATCAAATCATCTGAACCTGTCTAGTCAAAACTGTTAACCATCTGGAGACCCGTGGTGAGGAAACAGTCTGGCTATGGGAGTATATTAAGGTCAGGTGACTTAGTAATGTAATCAAGAGATATTGTTCACAAGAATGGGACGAATGCCAGGTCACAGTGACCTTGACCTTTGACCAGCAAAATCAAATTAATTCATCTTTGAGTCCAAGTGGACATTTGTGCCAAATTTGAAGAAATTCCCTCAAGGCGTTCCTGACATATCGTGTTCACAAGAATAGGATAAGCACCAGGTCACAGTGACCTTGACCTTTAACCACCAAAATTTAATCAGTTCATCACTGAGTCCAAGTGGACATTTGAGCCAAATTTGAAGAAGTTTCCTCAAGGCATTCTTGACATATCGTGTTCACATGAATCGGATGAACGGACAACCCGAAAACATCACGCCTCCGGCAACGGCTATCGCCAGCACGGAGGCATGATAAATCAGGTTTAATTAAGGATGATGGTGTAAGGTGGTAAATAAGACATGGGTCAATTCTACTGACGACACAGTGTTTACATCCTCAATGCTTTGGAGGTGTCAAATAAACACCAAAATGACACTAAGACCTTCAGTTGATTGCAGCCTAAGCTTTTCCATTCAGTACAGGACCATCTGCATTCTAGTTTTAATGTCTTACACGTAGGGTTACAATGGGACAAAATTTTAACGGCATGATAACTGCCTCAGAAAATTCCATGGTATTACAGTATTACACAGTTACTATTATCAGCTACAACAACCCTCAAAGGAATGAAAAGAGAGGGTTTTTTTTTTATTGCAAGTGAGTATGACTGTTGGTTGAACTGGATTGTAGTAGTAGATTGGCCCGAAAGAATAAACAGAACTATAAACTTGATCTTAAAAAAAAATCATATAATGTTGTATAACTAAAGTATGTTAGTTTGTGTGTTATCACCAGTAGCAGAGGAAGTCTTCACATCCTGTAAAAGTATATCACATTATCATACTGTAGATATACAACATTATATGATTTTTTTTTAAGATCCTTCCTCTGCTACTGGTGAGAACACACAAACTAACATACTTTAGTTATACAAAACTAAAGTATGTTAGTTTGTGTGTTAACACCAGTAGCAGAGGAAGTCTTCACATCCTGTAAAAGTATCACATTATCATACTGTAGAAGTAGCCTACTCTGTTACAAGTAAAATATATATACAGAGTCCTATCTTATGCTACTATATCATTAATTAGCCTATCACTCATGCATCAAGAAAAGCAGTATTTGACTCTTGTACCTGCTTTAGGTGGAGCTCTGCTCAACTATTTTGTATGCAAGTGCAGCTATTGATTGTTTTAATTAATTATTTTCTCCGTTAATCGATTGACTGGGAAGAAAGGTGGATACTAGTTGCGTTTTTTTGCCTTCAATACTGGTAATAAGCAAACTTATGATGACCATCAATTTTAAATACTGTGGTACACCGTGAACCCGGTATACAGCTGCAACCTTGCACACGTTGTTGCCAAAAGGCAGTCCTGTCCTAGAGTGTGGATATCCAAACTGAGCCTGACGGGGCCCATCAGTACCCAAGGGTTTGGGGACAAGTTTCGACACCCAGGTCAAACTTTAGGCAAGAAGGCTAGAGCGCTCAAATGTTTGCTACGTTTAATAATAATGGGGAAAACACCATACAAACTCAACTGTGTTGGGTTCAGACATTATATGCTATAAGCTTGTCAGGTCCTGGTCGGGTTCAGATGTCACACTCTCAGGTCCGGGTCGAGTTTGGAGAGAAATATGCTGCCCGAGCAATGCTCTGCCTTGTCCTAAATAACCCAGAGAGTAAGGCTCTGTGAAGCTCCCCCTGTAGAGAGAAAACTTTCCCACTCTAAGACTGCCTTAAAGAGGTGCACTTAATTCTGGTATCATTATTGTGACATTTTTTCTGCGTCCCCCATGAGCATTTTCCAATTTGCCTTCACTCTTTGTCAGAGCATGTTGACTGTGTTTTGCTTATGCTGTCATCATTTTCAGGCTGCAGAACCACTTTGCAGCTTCTGCAGTTCTTGTGATGCTTCCTCGAAAATTCAAACATATACATGAGTTCTTGTGACGCCTCTTAAAGCTGACACATGCTTGTAATTGTGTTTTAACTTTGCCAGTGGAAGTGTCTTTGTGATTAAGGTTTTGTTACATTAGGGCTGTAATCATTGTTGAAATGATATTCTTTTCATTTTGTCCACCCCTGTAGTGTGCCTGTGAACTCAAATCTTTTTTTTTTTCCTGCTATTCCTCTTAGTTGAAACTTGACAAAATGTCAACTGCCCCTCCCTCTTAATTAAGCTGTGGAAACCAGCTGCACACATCTCTGCCCTGAATAAGCACAGACGAGGATTTTATTGCACCATTTCAATTTTAATGGAAATATTTAAGGCTATGAATTGAAAAGGGCATGATACATTTATGCAGTGAAATGGGTTAGCAGGGGAAGGACTGAGGCAGTAAATGGGAAGAAAAATAAAATAATCAAATCGAGTAGCGGGCACTCGAATGCAAATGGGAGACGTCAGAGAAATTAACTGGGTCCCCTCTGGGCAAATGTCTAATCAGTGGTCTCCCCACTTAGTCCAGCAAGAGAAGGCAGGTTAACATAATAAAACACAGCTTTGGCAAGTGACTTCCTGGTAGTTTCATCAAGGGTTTTCAGTTTGACAAATGTGCCTTTGGGCTTGACTGGTGAATGGGAATGAGAAAGAGGATAGTGTTGAGAGAGTGCGAGCTCGAAACCATATGCAAACATAGATGCACATTTGCTGTGTGGGCAATAGCTGCTTCAAAGCCGCCTGCAGTTCCATATTTACCACAGTCTGGACAAACAGCATTGAGCAAGGACTCCACAAGCACATGCAGTTAGCTGGTACATGGTGCTGTCTGTTTTACCGGAATATTATGTGATCATGTTACCTGAAGGAAAAAAAAACTGTAGTTCCTGAGCACCTTATGGTGGGGAAAAAAAGACTGCAAATGAAGTTGGAATGGATCCAAGCCTTTTTAAATAGGCTTTTATTGTGTTATGGTTTGAGAGCTAGCTCTTGGCCTTTATCTTTCTTCGCCCCCACACAGAGCAGCCTTATTTCTTCACCAGTAATCATTGCTGATATTAACTCAATTAAATCCAAAATAAATGCTTTTTATAAAACTAGAGCAGGGAGTTGTCATACACAAACAACTGCACAATGCACTGCTTGAAGTTTGTTTTAGTGGGTTTAACCCAATAACCTAAATTTATGTCTTGATTTTAAAGGGTCAGTTCACTCAAATTATGAGGAAAACAGCATTAAAAAAAAGTACTCCTTTTTTTGCATCCATACATAAAGTATTGGTTTGATTGTATCACTGAACATATGAATGCAGACTTTGTGCACATGGTGCATCTTTATGGTAGACTGTGTGTGTGTGTGTGTGTGTGTGTGTGTGTGTGTGTGTGTGTGTTTATGTTTAAAGGTGTCTGTTAACCACACACCTACTCTTTGTTGATGTCTTGTGTTGCTGTTAGTTAAGGTACATTAAAATGTGCATTTAACTCCATTAATAATAAAACACCTCTCTCTTTCTGTTCTCTACAGAGATGGCAAGCTGGGTCTCCCTCCTCCTCTTCCTTTTCTGCCAGTCAATCACACAAGGCCAGGAGGTGAGCAACAATATTCCAGTCCTGGAGTTCACGTCGGCGACCCCCATCAACAATGTGGTCCAGGACCCGCAGACCGGTCGCATCTACCTGGGAGCAGTCAACAGCATCTTCCAGCTGGGGCCATCACTCCACCAGGAGGCTCATGCTGAGACGGGCCCCAAAGAGGACGCCCGGACCTGTACGCCTCCTGCTTCAGCCTGTCAGGACACTAAGCCCATGGCCAACCATAACAAGCTTCTGCTGGTCAACCCATCCAATGGTTCACTCATAGTGTGCGGCAGCCGCTACAGAGGCATCTGCTCCCTCCTCAACCTCACCAATGTGGATCAGCAGGTGTATTACAGCGACAATAAAGGAGAGAGGACTTATGTGGCTAGCATAGAGGACAATGTGAACGTGGTGGGTGTTATGTCCACCTACTCAAAAGATGGACACACCTTCAGTGTGTTTCTTGTTGGGAAGGGCTACGGAAGCTTGGACAGCACAAAACTCATAAGCACACGAATCCTTCAGGACTATAGGGACTGGGTTGTGTTTGAGAGCATCATCGAGGCATCTACAGTACAGACAACACCATTTGTTCCCAAGTACCTGCATGACTTCCGCCATGCATTCAAAGATGATGGGTTTGTTTATTTCCTTTTCTCGCGGACTCTTGATGGTACGGATAACAAAAACCTTACCTTTGTGTCTCGTCTTTGCGAAGACGACCACCATTACTATTCCCACACAGAGCTCCAGTTAAACTGTGGTCAAAATAACAGATACAGCAAAGTGCAAGCTGCGTATGTAGCTTCTCCAGGAAAAGAGCTTGCACGTGTCATGACCGAGTCAGGTATGTATGGGAAAGTGTTCTCGTGGAACAAAGTTCTGTTCATGGTTGCGAGTCCAGATGATGATGACGGGGACTCTGCTCTCTGTATGTACCCGCTCAACTACATCAATGAGCGGCTGGTGGATATCATCACCGCCTGCTACAGTGACTATGGGAAAATTGCAGGGTTTCCTGCCGTGGACATGCCCTACTCATATAAAATTTCTGGATTCTGCACTTCAAAAATTGATGTAAGTGTTTCTTCTCTGTTAGCTGATTGAAGTTTTAAAAAAAGTTTGTTTAGAAGAATTCCCTTTGCAGTACAGTAATCAGTGATGCACAGATGTGTCACTGAAATGCCCCGGTGTCCTAGTCTTTGTTGTAAAGATTCTTTGTATTGTTCTGTCTAAATCTCTTTATTCTGCCTCACACATTTTCCCTCCTCCTCTGTCTTTTCCCAATTCCCTCAACTCATCCATATAAAAGCGGTAGGCAAATAGCGGTCTGTGGGCCAAATCAGGCTTTCTAGCTAAAGTCTTGGACCCTGTGATAGTTGACATCAAAGCTTAGACATAATTTTTACACAAATCTCCTGTAGATAATGTATATACAAGGATTATGTAAAATTCAGTAAATCTGAATTCGTTGCATGAAAAGAGGCATGCATCTGTACCAGGTGATCTGAAATGTACATGGCACTGAAATATATAAACTTGCAAGATCAATAACGTAATAATAATTGAAGTTAAATATGAAGTATTATTAAATAAAACAAGTAGGTCTTGAAATCAAACTGTTAAAATTCCACAGCTTTATCGTGTTTGGCAACAGCATATTTATGTTTCAAAAATACAAATAGGTTTCATTTTAACAGAAATGCCACACTGAGAGCATGCCTTTTCTTGAGCTACAACCTTAATCAGAATCAGTTTTACTGGCCAGGTGTGTCAGACACATGAAGAATTTGACTTCTGGTCGTTGGCTGAAAACTAGTTTTTCAGCTTTTCAGAGTAGCTTCTCTTTGCTACTGTGTGTTCCTGGCCTGCCTGTACAGGATCCTGTCCCCACTTCTGTAGGCCTCCTCTTTGGCATGACAAAGCTGCTTGAGTTGTACTGTGAACCAGGGCTTGTTGCTGCTGTATGTGCAGAAGGTCTTGGTGGGCGCACATACACATCCTCACAAAAGCTGATGTATGATGTCTCTGTGCCAGTGAATTCATCCAGGTCTGTAGACATAACCTCAAATACACTCCAGTCTGTGCAGTCAAAGCAGCCCTGTAGCTCTTAACAGTGCGTTTGTACAACCATAAATGAGGCTGGTCACTTTTCATCATGTGTACATTTAAACTAAATCTCATAATGCACCACAGGATGTTCTGTATTTTTACATATTAAAACAGGTTTATGTACGTAACTCTATCCCACACTTGCTAATGGGAAAAACAACCTTATGCCATTGGATACAATCCTAAAACAGAGTTAAATTTAAATAATACATTTATTTATATTAATTATAAGAAATGCTCAAACAAAACATACTAAGTGCACCTGTAAAACTTTGGCCTTCAGTGATTAATGGTGAAAAAAAACTGGCTCATGGTTAAACTTCAGTGCCATATAGCTTACTTAATAGACAACCTGTTTTCTGTCTTATAGCTTTATATTTAAGGGAACACAATAACAATAATGTGTTTTGTGCTTGTTCTCCTTTACAGAAAGATATGTTGGAAACCTTCAAGTGTGGTGCAGACTTTCTGCCTTCCCCTCTAGCCAGCAAGCCAAGCTATGCCTTAAAGGTAGAAGCAGTGCTGGTCAGGCCAGGCCTTCTGACTGCTGTGGCTGTCGCTGTGGAAAACGATCACACCGTTGCCTTTTTGGGCAACAGCCAGGGAGAGGTCTTCAAGGTGGAGTTGTCCTCTGATTAGTTGCTTTTCTTCTCTTTTTCCTTTAAATATTTGCTTGAGGGAAGCATGAGTGGGGATTTATAGACCTTTTTGTTTTTCTGTCCAGGTACATCTGACCGAGGAGTCGTATGTCTACAGCAAGACTCCTGGTGACACCATAGGCGAGAAGGTCAACAAGAACCTTTTCTTTGACCTCAGTCAAAGCCACCTCTATATTACTACAGAGAAGAAGGTGTGTACATCAGAGACCTTTTGTAATACTTAACATACATAATGTGTCTATGCAGGAGCGTTCGGGTACTTTATTGTGTGTAGGTCACCTGCGTGTGGCAGCACTCAGAGATAGATGCACAGCCACTGTAGTCACTTAAAGCCATTAAAAATGGTCTTGAAGCCTAAACGACAATCCTTTAAATTGTAGTTGCGCACATAAAGCATGAGTTAAGGTGCCTTTGTAGACAGTTCTATTGATTAAAATGGAAGTGCATCTGTTATCCATGAGAAGGATGACTAAAAAACACAAGTGAAACAAATCCTGTGTAGATGTGGTGTAACAGTGACTTCTACACTGGCTTCTCTATTACTGAGAATTTTATCTCAATGACAGAGGACTCCTTTATTTTTTACCACAAATGATATGGTATATTTCCTTTTGCCTTATTAAGAGAAAGCTGAGTTGGTTATAGAAAACACAACTAGATGACTCATAACCAATGTAGAAATATCTGAGAGGTAGGGTCTGGCTCTTGGAACAATCTGTTTGGTGCTGATCTGGATCATAATCCAGATCCAGGAACTTTTTAAAGGATTCTTCATGGTTGTGAGATGGGGCTGATTTCAGTATTAATATAATCAGTAGGTTGTCAGATTTGATGCATCTTCAGAAGTTACTGAGCTGGATCCTGAAAAAAATTGTCATTACTGAGTCATCATTTTACAAACTAATAATGATGTCAATGTAATTCCAAATGCTAGGGGTAGAATAATCAAAGAATAATATTATGAGGGTCAAACTGCCATGAGAATATTGATTTTGGATGTAATGGCATTATGGGGACAGTGAGCTGCCTAGGTGCAGATTTCTGCTCGATTGTTTATACTCTGTACCATAAATACATAATCAGTGAAGGAAGAATTATCAGCAAAAGTAGAAGTAGTCTCTTTAGGGAACTGTACCTTTCAGAATTTTAAATTATTAAGTATATAACATTATTGAACTATTACTGAATAAGATAATTGAACTATAAGGAACCTGATAATAAAACTGAATTTGTTTCATTTCCAATCATTTGATTTCGGATTCTGTTAGATGCATACGAGCAAACTGATGTACATATAAAAAGTAAATGTGCTTAGTCAGTTTCCATTACTGGGTAAAATACACATTTGGATGTAGACAGAGGGAACAGTTTTAGTAATTAAACATGCGAAGCAGACGTGAGAAACCATGTGCTGTGACAGGAATTGTGTTACTCCCACTCCACACACCTGCAACAAACAAAAGCATCGCTAGCTGTACTTAAAATGCTTCCTGTTTTGTGTAGTGTCTCCCTAACATACACCATTTGATCATATTTCGTGTCATAATCCTCCAGATCACCAAGGTGCCAGTGCAGACCTGCCTCCAGAAGAGAGACTGCCAATCATGTGTGGAACTGAGGGACCCTTATTGTGGCTGGTGTGTCCTGGAAGGCAGGTGAGGATCATACACGTACACTCAGCACTCACTCATAAATGCATGAACACAATGGCGGACTAACACACACACACACCTACACATGCAATTCCATCTGCAGAACACAGCAGGGTATTTGTTCAGTGTTTTATTGCAGACACTTTTCGTACCCCTCTGTGTTTATATTTCATCTCCTGTTGTCCATGCAGCCGTATGGAATTAAAGCTGTTTGTCAGCGTCACGCAGCGAAGGGAGTCTGTGTAATTTACTCTCATCAGCTTATATTTATCAGGGTCTGTAGGGTAGAGAGGGCAGTAAATATCATATATTTTACAGGGCTGTGATCAGGAATGGGGGAAAAAAGCAGAAAAACACTTGTGTCCCTCTAGAGGTTTTGATACTCCTACTCAAAAACGCTTAACATACTTGTAGCTGCAACAATTAGTTTAGTATTGATTAATTGATCAACAGGAAATTAATTAGCAACAATTTTTTACAACAGATTTATCACTTCTGTTATTACTGAAGTGAAACATTTCATGGCTCCAGCTTCTCAGATGTGCTATTTCTGTTGTTTTTCTTTGCCCTACATTACAGCAAATGTACTGTAATCTCCAGGTTTTCAACAGTTTAACGTGCATCACTTTACTGTAATATCTTTTTAATCTATAAAAAGTCAGAAAATAGGGAAAAATATCCACCAGTTTCCTAAAGCCCAATGTATTGCTTACAGCAGTATGCAACCTAAAAGTCTTCAGTTTAGAGTTTCAGCAAAAAAATAAATAAATAAATAAATAAAACACCCCACAATTTATAAACTGAAGCAGGGGTATATGTGGCTTTCCACATAAAAAATATTCCCTTAACTAACTGGTTATAAATATAGTTGCCTTTAGCTCTAAATGATTGCCTCATTTGTGCTCCTAAGCCACTTGCCAATGATGATACTTAATGTTTTAAATTTTTGGGAAAATCTGCACACATCCTGCTCAAAGTCAGTTGTACACTGGGTTGTTCATAAAAACACAATGAAAATTTGTTAGAGTCCATAGTTCTTGTTTTTCTGAGGCCTTGTGAAAGCGTTTAGGGGGAATGGAGCAGAGGCTGATGGGAGTTGTTCATCCTTTGTTTGAAGGTGTACCAGGAGGTCTGAGTGCCGACGGGCAGAGGAGAAAAATGGCTGGCTGTGGAGCCCCAGGCAGCAATGTGTCAAGATTGTCTCCTTCTATCCCCCAAACCTTTCCTGTAAAAAGACTCAGAAGGTACAGCGCTGCTTGTGCTCACTTTCTCCCTTTGTTCTCTGCACCTCTTTCTGTCTCTCTTGCTCTCCGGTTCACAGCCCCACTTACATGCACGTCACACAAACATACACAGCCCAAGTAATAAACTGTTTCCCATTGTGAATCACAGACTCTGGGCTCTAGGTCTTCCTGCCCTGTATTGATCCATTCAGAGAACTCCGAACTGGCTTATTATAACCAACCTGGCTGATTGCACTCACAGCCTGAAGATGGAGAGGCTCTTGTGCACTCTCTCTGAGGTTGTTTTTTTTTTTTTTTGCATTCCTCTGCTTCCCGTTACTTTTGTCCCTCCCTTTTTGATTCACTCTTGTATTTCCATCAGTAGAGCCTCTCCCCTTTTTTCATTCTCAATCAATTTCAGCCTTTCAAAAGGAAACAGCCTCTGAATTTTAACTTCTGTTTTAATACAGGGACTGTTTTTGAATTGTACGTCGAGGACTAGAAGTTAATTCAGTGTTAACTGATCTTATTCAGCCAAACTGCTTTATAGCTTTCACTGAAAAATGTAATGTTTTCAGCGCATTCCACTGTTCTGCATATATTTTTTTCTGTCCAGGTGAAGATCAACATTCCCTCCCTTCCTACCATTGGATCCTCTGACCGCCTGCAGTGCAGAATTAGTTCTTTCCAGAGCGAAGGCACCATGTCTGACTCTGGGCAGATCTCCTGTGATCTGCCCTACCCGTCACTTATACCACAGACACCTGAGGACCAAGGTATGGCACCTTCTTTTAAGGTGCATGAAAAAAAACACTGGGAGCCCAAAACACCCCAGGTTCACTCCATGTCAGTTGTTTTTGTAATTTGATTTGTTAGGTAACTTGTTCCCCAATATATCAGAATTAACTAAGGTGGATTTCATGTTTTAAACTAATTTTGTGGTCATGTCTGATAGAGGCACCCTGCATCAGAATCTAGAACTTTAATATTTTAGTTCATAATGTGGTCCTATACTGATCAAATGGCTAAATACTAATACAAATGAAGTATTCCAGAATAGGAGTTGTTTTTTGGTTTTGACGTGGTGTGTCATCTTGTTATGAACAACGACCACCCCCCACCCCCCACTATCAACAGCAGAGCAGATGATATTTTCCCCTCAGTAAATGCCCTATAATTACTGAGTCAAGCTGTTATTTAGGCAGTCAACTAATAACTAAAATGATCATGAGGAGAGATTTGTCAGTATTAATGTGGCTTACTACCTTGGCTAAAGAATTTCCAGTGAGTACGGGTTGCTCAAAACTGAATGAGGACTTAGAGCTGACAAACTGTCCCCTAACAGAATAATGCCATCAGGGGACACATAAACCATTTAAATTAATACATACTCAGCATAGAGGTATTTGAGGTCTTGCTTTGCCAGTGTTGCCTTCAGAAGCACAAATGATGTATCCAGTATCCAGACTCCTTTCCAAAGACACCATCCCCATCCATATATAAGGATAAAACTTGTATCCCCCCAGCTGCTAGTGCGGCACATTTTAGCTCTCTCTTTGCTGTGCCCTCAGACTTTGTAGCCGTGGCCATTGGGATTTTCATCAATGAGTCTGTGGAGCTGGCCACGCGGGAGTTCAAGTTTTACAACTGCGCTGCCACTGTGAGGAAATCTGAGAACACACCGTGAGTCAGACTCTTAATCTATCAGTTCTGCTCTGTCACCCACTGAAAATACACAGTGACACTGAACACAACATCAGCTGACAACTTTGATGTAAACGGATCGCCATCCATGAACAGATGAGAGATCAGGGCTCTGTTTGTAAACTGATGCATGGTAGTTTTGAATGCACCTCTTGCATTTTCTCTCCTCCTTTTATTACCAGGCCAAGGAAATTGCCTCAGTTTCCTTTTCATTAATCAAAAAATGAAAGTCGATCTTGCCATTTTTTCCCCTACTTATTTTTTTCCTTCATTTCTTTCATGCAGAGGAACGCGTGATGAACGAGCTTTGCTTATGTGAAGTTGTAGAGATCCATTTTGCTGTCAGCAGCATGGATTTTTGTGCCGGACTCTCTCTGATGAGTTTGCATTTTTTAGGTTTTTGTGTGTGGTGTGTGTGTGTGTGTGTGTGTGTGCGGGCATGCCCCTGCCTAATTATGTGTGCAAAGCATTTTCTTAATATTGTGCTTATGTGTCCATACTGTGTTTGTGTGTTTTCAGATGCATGGCCTGTGTGGCCAGTCAGTGGGGCTGCCAGTGGAATACAAATGACCACACGTGCAGCGACATGGACGACAGCGTGGTGGGTCCCAACATCATCAAGCATCGTCAGGTTAGTCATCTCAAGGTTTAAGATATCAAAAGCACATCAAGGGCTCTGACTCTAGGACAGCATGTGTATGAAAAATGTTTAGTGTAGAAAGTTTAGTAAGACGTGTCTAATCACCACATATGATTCAATGCCTGACTGATCCAAATTCCTCCTGAAAATTAATAACAATCTCAAATCCTGGTATCAGCTGCCACCATCTTGCATAACAAATGTTGTAGGGTGGAGGGTATCAATGTGAAAGTCAGCAGATGTTTCAGTGATACACTTATCTGTTGCCACAGATGAGGGTGTCTGTTAAGTGGCTGGCACATTTAAAATGTAAATGATTGAAATTGGGAGTGTCTGAGTTGTTTTGATGCCTTCTCAGGGATTAAAGTGTCCTCAGTTTGAGAATCCAGATCCTGTGCTGATTCCTGTGGGCTACAAGACTCGCATCAGCTTTGAGGGGATAAATTTGGAAGGTTACCAGGTAAAGTGGCACAGACACAGAATTTAAAGCATTTCTAGGGAACTTCTCAGCTCTTTTACACAGCTGTTGGGTATGGTACTGGGACCACAGTGAACTAGATTGGTCACAATTTATAACCATCGCATACTCTCATAGAAAAAGTACTCATGTACTGACAAAGATACTCTTCATTTGCAAAACGAATCAATTTACATGTGCAAAAGGTGAGAAGATGTGACAAGAAAGTGTTTTGTGTTCTGAAACGTTTCTATACAGGTGTGCTTGTTATACTAGTGTACTGAAGCCCAGGGGCAGTCATGCGACAAAGGCACAGCCGGATGGCTGTATATTTTGCTTGTAATGGGGCTTGTGAATGTCCTTGTTTTTTCACATAGCACACAGATACAATAAACCAAGATCATCCCGTCCAAACTTCTTTGGGGCTGGATGTACACAATAGTTTTGTGCATTTCTTGCTCTGTAATGTAAAAGAGGGGAGCTTCACTGAATAATATTTTACCAATAGGATTACACCCTGTTCCTTGTTTTTATTTGTCTGGTTCTCCAGGACCATGTTTTCACCATTGGCACAGAGCTGATGAGAAATGTTGAGGAAGAGGTGAATTTTGAGGACGGGTCGTTCTACACCTTCAGCGGCTTTAATGTGAGTATGACTATTTGGCAGCTGTTTGACACTCATCTTGTCTCGGCACTTCATACTCGAATGTGTCTCTGTGTTCACGCTGACCTGCAGATTTAGTTCCTTTACTAAATTTGTTCAGATAGCTTCTGGCAATTTGCCCTCCTCTCAGCAGCGGTTCTTGCACTGTGGCTGATTTGTGGCCCTGATTCTTAGGGTGCAATTTAGAACAACACTAAAGAAGTGAAATAAACTGTAGAGTATCACTTGATTCTGCCACTTTGTCTGTGGTAGTATTTTCGGCTGGCTTTATGTTTCAGACTTGTAAATCAAATCAGGCCTTAGCTGGTTTTTACAGTCCCTTTGATATTCTCTAGCTCCCTCTAATGGACACATTCTCCTCACTGGAGTTATTTGAGTTCTCCACATTGTGAACTCTGTGATTGGGAAGCTCAAACAGCGCCTAGCCTGCAGCTATGTTCTTTTCCTGCATTGATTTCTTCAGCTGAAAATCTGCCAGACTGGGTATAATTTTTTTCCCTTGGCATGGGGAAACGGCAGCCCACACTGTTTTCTGAGAAGAGCTTAAGTGCCATTAATCACTGAATTCTGTATTAATAATTCATTTTCTTCCAATTTCTTAGTTTTCCTACAATAAGTCACCAGAGACCAATGTTCTTTTCTACGTGAAGGACAAGGAGTCAGGCAAGAAGATGGACAGCATGCTGAATGGTACGCTCTCGCATTTTAATGTGGCGATCTTGCCCTGTGTGTAGACTTCTAGTCCCAGCGTGAGGCCTTCATTTGATCTGAGGAAGCTATTTTTAATTTGCAGTTGAAAATTAATCAGAAAATGAATTGTTAATGACTGTATCATCAAGTACATTTTGACAGAATATGAAGGATTTAAAGGCAAGCGATTATGGGACCAGTTTTACATGGTCCGTATAATGCAAATTAAAGCAAAGTTATCAGATATTAAAATAGACATCTTATCATTCATTCAGAAAACTCATACTTGACAACATAATACATGGTGATAGGTTTGGTTTCAGAAGTAAGGGGTGTTACAATAAAGATTCAAAATGTATTCCAATGAGCCGTTATCATACTTTTTATAATTTTGCTATTATAAAAAAATGTGCTGTGTAACCCTCTGTGTTATTAATGCACTAACCCTAGTTAAAATAATGTTTAGTATCCTTGACCTAATTCTTCGCGAAGATGTTTGCAGCTTTACTACAAAGAATACCATGTTATTACCTCATTTTTGATTGAGTCGAGCCTCTGTTTAGAAAAATATTCAAAAAGAGAGGCTACAGGTTAAATGATTTTTTATTTGTCTGAAAAACATAAAGAGAAAATTCAGATTGTGTTTTTTCAGTAAAGTATGCAGGCTTCCTCTGAGACTGTGTTCACCAACATATTCAGACAGGTAGCTACATGGGCTACCTGTGAGGCAAAACCCAGGGCAGAAAGCCTGCTAAGCACTTCCTGCTGCTCATCAAAAAGTACAGAAAATCGGTGGAGCTTCCTTCAAAGCTGCTGCTCTGAGGGCACATCAGGAGGGCACTGTTCAGAGAGAAAGACACCAAACTGAAACTTTAAAAGTCAGAGGGGATAAAAGTAAGGTTTTGACAAGTCAGGGGATTGACAGCCTTGGGGAAAAAAATAAATATATGTATATAAACACATGCAGTATTTACACTACTTCCTATACAGTGACCCTGTACAACTGCTCCATGGGGAGGGAAGACTGTAGCCTCTGTAAGAATGCCGACCCAAAATACAGGTGTGTGTGGTGCGCCAGGCAGAAAGCGTGCGTGTACGAGAAGCTGTGCAGTACACAACAAGGCTCAGATCCCTACAACATTGAGTGCCCTGACCCCCAGATCACTGATGTGAGTATTTACAATGTTGTCATCACTTTATGTTGACCTTTGAGCTGGAATGAAGCATGTGATTTAAAGACCTGTGATTAGCAGGTGTTGATTTTGGTGATTGGATTGTTCACTGGAGCACTTTATTGACTGTTTTTTTATTTTCCCTTTTTGTTGATGGACAGGTTAAAAGTCTTTCTCCTTGAGGGTGCGTTAAACTGATCCGCAGCACATCTAGATTCTAGATTGGATCAATTCGTTATTTGCTCTCTTAATTGTTGGTACTTCATTGTCATTGACAAAAATCCATAAAAACCAGTAATCGTTTTGGTATCAGTGTGACATACATATATATATAGTATCAGTGTGCCAGCATTTATATAACATTTACTGTTCAAGATTCACTGTTAGGCCATTTTTGATAGTAAAATGATAATTTTTTGGCTTACCTGTAAATCTTTTAGACAGCTATATCTTCAAATACAGAATAGATTAGAAATAGACTTACAGTATGCCTACAAGAAAAGAAAATTCTTTATTTCAACAAAATATATTCGTGAAAGAACACCAGCTCATATGTTATAATCAGATTTTAGTTTTAAATTGTTCTCAAGTATCTATTGTATCTGAGTCATAAAACCACTATCAGTCAGGCTCTTGCACATACACACAAACTTCCAGACATGACTCATACAGTGTGGATGTGATTCACCGTAGCCTAGAATATTAAACACTTTGACTACAACAAAATAGACTGTATAAATCTCTTGTATGTTCTTATTGCACAACTAATCTGTTGAAATCCTTTTTAAATCCCCTCTTCCTATAAACACCCACCCCCATGTTTTCCTGACCAGATCATCCCTCGTTTTGGCCCCCTGCGGGGAGGCATCTCCATCACCGTCCGTGGCTCCAACCTCGGCATCCACAAGGAAGACATTAAAAGTATCACAGTGGTTGGAGAGCCCTGTATTCATCAGGAGGAGAAGTACTCTGTCTCCACTAGGTAATATTTACACACCTTCAGTCAAATATTTGAGCAGCAGCACCTACACTCTTCATTGTATAATGTTGGTCAAACTGTATATAGACAGGTTTTATCCAAAGTTTTCTTTTGTAAACTTTTGGATGCATTATCAGTGAAGGAGGGCTTTGCCTTTCCTTAGGGCAACCAGGGTGTATATTTTAATTAGCTCGTTATACCGCTGTATTGATCTGGAGTCTCTCGACACAGGTTGATTTAGAAACAGAAACACTCTTTTAAAGGGGAAAGCCAGAAGAAGAAAAGTCCTTATTTGAGTAGAAATGGCACTAGAGCAGAGTATTAATGCTCTCTTACTAGTAAAAGTCATGCATCCAAAATTCTACTCAACTACAGAAGGATTATCAACAAAATGTTCTTAAGTACTAATTTTGCAGAAAAATGGCACCTGTGATGAATAAATTATTTTATATTGCATTATTAGATCATTTATACTAATGCAGTAATGTGTAAGCAGCAATTTACTGTTGTAAATGGTCGGAGTAGCTTGTTTTAACTACATTTTGGGCTTGTGATATGATTAATGGGGTGGGAAATAAGAAACAAAGTTCTGCAACACAAATCTGCAGTTAGATTTTCTTGAGCCTTTGCTTTTTTTAAATATTAGATACTTTTACCTTGTTTCAACAGTTAAATGAAACAATCATAGGAGTTTACAGGGAAAATGTCTCTTCAATGGAGCATCTAACAAAACTGACAGCCAGATTCATAGATACTGTTTATTTTGTGAGGGTCTCAAGCTATAAAAGTTTAATCCTAGTGTAAAAAAAATAACTAGCAATTGCAGCTGCCAGATAAGTGTAGAAATAAATTTGTACAATATGTGAAGAATTATGAAGTATCACAACCTGGAATGGAACTCGGATAAAGTACAAGTACTTTAAAATGTACTTAAGTACAGAATTGGAATAAATGTACTTAGTTGCTTTCCATCACCTTGTAATACTACTGAATGCCAGTCTTTAAATACCGTATGGCCACTCAGTCAGTTATATATGACTGTTGATGGATGGGGCCCTGAGAGTGGCTGAATTCTTTGAGATAGGTTTGACCAAAGAACTGGACATACACAGTGATTTGATAGCATCACACATTTGCCACAAAATTTCCAGTGGTCTATTCATGCTGCAAACACTGTTCTTCCTCATCCCAAAGGTGCTTTAATGTGCAGAGTTTTGCTTGAAAAATAATGAAAAACTCTGGAATAAACTTTTAAGCCTGGCAAATGCCAGACAGCCACTAGCCAGAGCCGGTCGACACCTGGCAGGATGGATCCTGTTTATGATTCATTCTTTCTCTGCCATCTACATGATAAGGTATAAACCAGGATTTATGAGACCAGATGTAATATTATTCATCCTTAAGTCATCCACTTCTGGAGCTCACATATCCATTGTTGTCTACAGTTTTTAACTTGCTTTGCCTGTTCTTCTGCACATTGCTGCTTACTTGCTTTAGGTTTTTTTTTTACATTATTTTATTTCTTCACATCACTGTTGCAGCTTTTAATTTTCAAATCATGGCACACCTGTTAGCCCCAGTGAGGCTTGCCATTTTATGCTGACCTCTTTCATCAGCAACACGTTTCCCCCTCAGGACTGCAGCAGACTTGGATGTGTTTGATTTGTCACACAGTTCCGACTAAACTCCAGACACTGCAATGTGGAAAATTCCCAGATGGTTAAATTTCTCAGCTTCTTGAGCCAGCCAATCTGGCATTAGGAATCATACTACATTAATAGCTTCGTAGTCAACAAAATTATCCAAACGTCCAGTTTATGTCTTCCCTCTTCAAAAAGTGAGCAGAATTCTTTCGAGTTCAGTTTTTGACATGTACTTTTACTGCTCTTTTAAAAATTTTATTTTCACTACTTTCTCCTGTTACCTAAAACACAGTACAGTATTCATTTGTTTGCCAATATCTGTAATGTTCAAAACTAGCTAAGTAAGTAAAACTGTCTAAATAGGACAAGAGTCTTGATGTGCTGAAGTTGTTAGGTTCAGAAATGTTGATGCAAGCGCTCTCACAAACCTGGTGAAGTTGAACATTAATCTAGACTGCAGGTCTTACATAGGGTTGAAACAATTAGTGTATAAATTGCTGAGTAAACCCACAAGCATTTAATCAGCAACTGTTTGGATAATCAGTTAACTGTTTAATTAATTTTTCAAAGAAAAAGTCATTATTTGGATCCAGCTTCCTCACTGGTGAATCTTTGCTGCTTTTTTTTCTTATGTGACAGTTAACTAAATATCTTTGGATTTTAGAGTGTTGTTTGTACAAAACAAACAATTTGAAGACCACACCATGAAGTTGTGGACTTTTTTTTTCATGTTTTGATTTTGTTTTTGATAATCCATCAATTGAGACAATTATCAGTAGATTAATATATAATTAAAATAATTATTGTAGCCCTAGTCTCAAATAGTTTTGTCTTCACTGTGTTTTCTTGTTGTCCTGTCCAGTGTGGTGTGCGAGACTGGCCCTGTTGACCCTGCGAAGAACCACTCGGGCCCTGTGGAGGTGAAGGTGAAGGGGGGGAAGAGAGGAATATCCTCCATGTACTTCACCTACAGGGTAAATAGTCTCTCTCCCTTTCTCCTCAGCTGTTCTTCCAATATGAAGGGCCACAACTTTTGACCCAGGAAGCAAACGCATCCAAATCTTTCTATTTCTTAACTGTAAGAGAGCCCCTTATCAGGACATACCAAGGGCATGTCGTTTGTGTTCAAATTCAATATTCCATGTGCTGCCAATTTAATCATTTAGATGCTGTCATATTACAATGGTAATGCGCTGTATGATAAGCCAGAATGTGTATGCAGTCCTCTTTAACCAGATGCTGTGCAGTAGTCCCTCTTTTCTCTCTAATACTTTAACAGGCTCCAGCGTAACTATTTAACAGGCTTTTCATATCGCCAGCTCTGCTAAAGCTTCCCCACAGGGGAGTGCTCTGCCTAACTGTTTGCTCAGCAAATCGAGGCAGATGTGGTGCTTTATGGGTGTGTGCGTTTGTGTGAATGTTTCTGACAGTGAGGGGGAGATCAAGGAGGGTGAGAGGACATGTGAATATATGACATACTGTAGTACTGTACCTGTGTGTGCTCTTCTTGGGTATGTGTGTGAATGAGCATTGGACCTTGTCTGCTTCTAAATCCTTGCAGCAGACAGAGTATGTTTTCATGCTATGTCTTGCGACGCCCTCTCCTTTGCCAGAACCCAATTCCGGAGGCGGTGAAGCCTGCTAAAGGTCCTAAAGCTGGGGGCACCCTCATCACAATTTCTGGGCAATTTCTGGACACTGGTAGTATGGATGATGCCCAGGTTACCATCGGAGGGGTGGACTGCACTGTGTAAGGATTTCTTTTCCCAATAAATTTTATTCCCGTCAAAGACCAATTCTGTTTCAATTCAGCCGTTTCAGTTGTTAAGTCCTACTTGTTATTCAGTCATTGTATTCCAGGCAGTTTCTACAATATGCACACTTTGAAGCCTATAAATTGACTTTTGTGTGATAAGCAGGATTTTTTTTTCTCTAACCATTTTTCTTTGATGTTTTGACCATGAGTGTTATGTCAAAACCAGTCCACAGTGACATTTTAGGCAGAGGTAACAGAAAAATAACTGGCTAGAGAAACAGCAAGGCTGAAATTTAACAAGCTGTCACGCTGCTGCCATGTTGGCTTCCACTGCACAATGACCTCTGTGACCCCCACTGCTGCAGGCAGCCATGGCTGAGTTATGTCCTCCTCTTTGCAGGGAGCACTTTGGAGAAGAAATCACCTGCAGGACAGGAGAATACCGAGCAGATAAAGTGCCCTCCGACTTTCTCCGCATCATTGTAAAATATGGAAAGAGTACCACAACAACCATTCCAAGTGCCTTCCAATTCTTGGAAAACCCTACTGTGCTGGATCACACCCCCAAAGGAAGCTTTGTGTGGTCAGTTTAATACAGTAGCTTGCAAGTCTTTGCCTTTAACCAAAGTGTTTGTAAGGAGACATAACACTGGATAAAAGCTCACAGGAAATTCTGGTATTTGTTGGTCTCTGTGTTAATTTCCAATGTTTGTCCATTCTGACAAATTGACATGATAACATTTTTACCCATCATCTCCATTATAGACATTTTGTTAATTTTCTGGAGCTGCTGCATGGATTGCCAGGGGATTACTTTCTTTTTTTAAACTTCTAGTTTGACTTAGTGACAAGTATTTAAAATGATTTAGCTCATTTTTATCCAGTGTAATTGTTCATAGCTTTAGAAATGGCAATTTGGTCAATCCACAGCTTTGGTTTAGAATAAAATCCTCATGTATGGACTGCCCTGAAATGTTGTATTTGTGTTCATAGTCCCCCAAAGCATAAACCCAGCTCACTTTTGTGATCCTTTGACATTTCCTTTAATGTCACCACAGCATTTTTGGTTTTAGTTGAAGTTTCTTGACAGCTATTTTATTTATTTATTTATTTTTTTTTGGCAAAGTAATTTAGTACAAACATTCATATCCAATCACTTTGTTAATGCTTTAACCTTTCATCTAGCACAGCCCCTGTCAACATTTCACTTTGTCTAATACTTAGATTTATATCCAATGACATTCCCAGCAGCCTCATTTGCACTCTGTGCTTTTTGCTGATTAGCACATGTTGCACAACACTGCTGTGCATAAACACAGCCTCACAGAGCTGCTAGCGTTGCTGTAGACTCTTGGTTTTTACTTTGTTTAATAGGCTCAGTTATCTTCAAAGATTAATTTATTCAATAGACAGACTTTAAAATTAGCTTGGAAAGATCTAGGAATAGTGTTATTCCCCTCCTCAGCACTGTTTACACTGGGGTTTGTGTTTTAAAACTGAGGTAGAGAATAAAATATTTGACTGATGGGCGTTATAATGGACAAAAATAGGAAAGTGAGACAAAGGGATTCCCCACTGAATATTTCACACTGTGCGTTGTTTTTAAAGTAAAGGAGCAAGAAAAATATAAAACTACTGTTGACGTTGTTGACAAGTTCAAGCAAAATAGTACTATAAATGGAAAACTGAATAGGTTGGAAGGTTCCTGGCATGTTCTCTGCCCTGCAGGCTTCTTTTTGTCTGAAACCTTGGTTAAGTTTATTAGTGCCAAGAACCTTTGTTTTTAAAAGTATTATTTGTCCTCCAGGAGGTGCTGAGTACGTCTGTGTGTGCAGAATATTTTCCATACTTAGTTTGATTGGCTGTTGTCTTTGATGTTGGAACAAACTGCTTGATGATCACTCAAAATGGATGCATTAGGCAGTTACTTTGCTTTTTTTTTGTGCAATTGAAAGCATTACGATGCACGTGATTAGGTGCACAGGCTGGAACAACAGACAACAAATACAGTAGGATGCTCGCCATCTGAGCTAATTTGTTTACGTCTCCGGTGAAAGGTACCCTATAGGTGCAACTTAAGAACTGTATCCGTCTTCCTGTAAGTCTCACTATGAGCTTATCTATTTTTATATACAGTACAGTACTAGCTACGGGCTTTTCTGTGTTTTTGAAGTGTATTTATATATTTGTGTGTGTGTTGTAGTGGAGGGAGGAACATTGTGGTAACCGGCTCTGGCTTTGACCTGATCCAGACTGCCATTATGAAGGTCCAAGGAGACAAATCAACAGCTTTAGAGGTTTCTGTTTAATGTATTTATTACAATCTTCCTGTTCATCAGCCCCGCTGATTACCCACATCTAATGGTCATTATTTCTTTGCTCTGTTCACTTTCTTCTGTCTCTTTCCTACAATTCCTTGTCTCAGAGAATTTCAGCTTTTCCAGCTGTGACCCCCCCACCACCACCACCACCACCACCAGCTCCCACACACAACAGCAGCACTGTCCATGTATCTTCCCACATCTCATGAGCCCACAGCCACAGTGGTGATTCATTCAATCTCTGTGAAGTATTTCAGCTGTTCGAGCATGCACATGCCAACAAACACACATCACCACTTTTCCACTGATCAGTGAGATTACATAAGCCAGTAGTACTTCATCTCAATTCTTTGCCCATAAATCCTTAAAACCTGTAGGATTGCAGATAGCAGCGTCACTGTTTCAACCTCACCAAAATGTAACTATGTTCCTTGTCCAGCTTAATCAAGTAGGCCTGAGTCTGCCAGGGAACTCAAAGGAGTTGGCTTGCAGCAGCTTGCCTATGCCTGCCTCCAGTGTACTGGCCAATGTTAAGCAATAGCAATTTTGTTCACTTTATTTAAGGGGCTAAAGTTAATACCAGCATTAAGGTTGCAGAAGATTATGTGACTATGCTGCTCTTCATCACTTGACTCCCAGCCAGGTCCCTGCTACTCAGGGACAGGAGAGATTTGGAAAGCATTCTGGCTGACACAGACTGGTAGCAGATGTAAAGTGTTATCTCAGAGGTCTTGACCGGTCAACTTCATAAGCTTCTCTTGGTTTAGGTCCTTCTACTAAACTGGACCCAAATAACTGGAATCATTATGCTGCTGGCTTGTGGTAAAAACATGTTGATTACATTGTAGGTCAGACACAACCTCATAGAGCTGCCAGCATAGCTGTAGTTTTAGTCTTGTTTGTATGTCTTTGAGCAAGTTTGCCTTCATTGCCTTAGATCATAGAGCCGACAGAGGAAGAAGGTCAGTGGCCAGGTCTTGAACATTGCAACAACAAAATTTTAGCTCATCAGGTCATCACAGTTTTTAGGGCTTTACTAGCAATGGCATTTTTAGTTGTAGTGATGCAACCCAATTTAGTAAAGCAGTAGTTTGAAACTAGTTGTTAGAGAGAACCTAAAGCAACTTTAGAATCAAACTTAGTTATGAGAAGCTGGTGCAGCCCAATCGTGTACACAAACAAATGACAAAAGACATTCAATTCGAACCATCCAGCCTCAAAATTTATAGTAGGTCTCTTGACTTTTCAAACCATTTCTCAATGTGGCCTGCGCCTATTGCCTTGTCCTTTTGAAAAACTTTGGCTGCGTGTAGTACTATAGGATTTATCTGTCACGCACAGTATTGTCAGCCCTGTGTGGAAACAATTAAAGTGACAGTCCATCAGTCCAGTTAATCAAACACCCAAAAACAAAGCCAGAGGAGGAATGAATCAACATGAATGATATCAGGCTGCTATTCTGCAATGGCAGATTGAGATTTGAATAGAATGACTGGAACAGACACATCATTTTACCTTCCACATTGTACTAAACCAGGCTCCCCCTCCACACCACCCCCAAAACACTCTTCCTCACACAACAAAAACATTAACTCAATACCTCTTTTACAAAGGCCCTTGCCACCCACTGTGTGCTTTTTTTTTTTTAAATTTCTAATTCTGCTCCCATAAGTTGTCATATTCTCCTACATGTCTTGTCTTGCTCATGTGTGTTTTATGATGTTGTTTGAGTTGAGATAAGACATTTTACTCTGCAACACTTTCAGAACGCCCACGAGAAGAATGACACGACCATCCAGTTCTGGTCTCCAACAGTTAACAACACCCTGAACCAGCATTTCAAAACCTACATTCATCTGGACAACTATGTGAAGGAACTAAAGCCCTTCGATTACCACCCTGACCCCATCTTCAATGAGCTAACCAAAAAGGTCATCACTGAGGCCAGCATCATCATCGTCACTGTGAGTAGAGACTACAGAGCTTTAGTGCTGCAGCTGTAGCATAGGAGTGGTGTGTTTCTGAGAAGTCAGCGTCTTTTGTGTGAGGGAATTAAGACAAATGGTATTATTATCTGGCTTGAAGATAAAAATGCTGTACCACATTTTCATGTTTTAGCTGCTTATATTATCATTTTCTATGGAGTTTGACTTCATATAACAATTATGCAAATAGCAGTGCATTTGTTATTTCAGCTCAGTGGGTTGATTGTTTTGGATGTCAAATGAACTGAGGCAAATGTACATTAGTTGTCACAATTAGCAAACGTTTGCTCATTTTTAACTATTATAATTGGATAGAAAATAAATATTTTAATGTGAATATCCATTTCTTTAAATTTGATGCAACAGATTCAAATTTAAAAACACATTTTTTGTTATGCAAAATTGTTACCTCATAAACCTCTTGAAAATTATTTTTTAAGGTGTTATTAGCTAAAATGTTTGGGAACCACTGCTCTAAAGTATACATTCAACTATAAGTATATATACAATTATAAGTTCAAAATACTCAATACTCACTAGCAATTCTAACAACAGAATAAATTTAGAAATAGGGTTCAGCATGGCATGCTTACTACATTGGTATTGATTCTTTATATATGGAGAAAATATGGCTTTGGAAAATAAGAAATGAAATGAGTTAGTGGAAAAATATACAGAACAGTACTGTCAATTAAGTTTGGATTTATTTTATCAACAAATTGGTGGTAGAAGGAAAAGGGGGCTTTTGTCTCCAAATTCCAGTTGATTCAAGTTCAGGTGAAAAGTTCAAGGCTTATATTCTTTTAATTATTTAACTATCTGGATTCTTTATTTTGACTTGTGTCTGGCTGCAACTAACAGTAATTTTATTATTCATTAGTTTCAGATGATTTTATGATATTGGTTTATAAAATTTCAGAAAATGGTGAGAAAGCCTGCCATAGTTTCCTGAAGTCTAAGGTGATGTCTTCAAATTACTAACACTTGAAATCCAAATGATATTCAGCAACTCATCACAGTTGAGAGGTCAGATCTAAGAATTTTTGGGCATTTTTTTAAATTAATTGATTATTAAAATGGTTCAGATGCCCTCCAGTAGCTTTATATTAGCTCTGAGCCTTTATAGTACTCACTTTAATTTGTCTTTTGGTACCGTAAATTTGTTAGAAAAGGCAAGTGCAAAAACAGCCTGAGGCCTTTTCGATTACTCTGAATCTGTTTTACATAAGATAAACTTTTTAGTATTGCATGCGGCCTTTAAATATTTGAAAGCGTGACTGTACTGTAGTTATAGAAATGTGCTGGAGAATCTCAAAGTGTTTATTTTAATGCCGTGATCGTGGAATCGACTTGAACTGTGCCTAAAGTGTCTTAAGTAAGAAATTACTCACAAATGTGCTTACAATGACCATAATCTTAATCTTTTTAATAAATCTTGGCACACGTGGTGGAACAGTGAAACATTTCACCCATTACTAATTAAATTACTTACCATAATGTTTTTAATGCTTAATGATGCATCGGCTTGATAGTTTGTAAACGCAGTAATACATTTTTCCCACATGTATTTCAATCACGACACTTTGAGCATTGTTACAGTTGTTCTTCTCCTGCAGGGTCGAGGATTCTCCAAAGGTATGACAGCCAAAGAGGCTCAAGCATTTGTGGGCGACGTTCCCTGCCTGGTCAACACACTTCAGGATGACAAGCTGTTCTTGGACCCACCATCCACCCAGCCTCGTGCTCGCTCCAGACGGCAGCGCAGAGACACCCGGCCTGAGCTGCTGGATCTAATGGTCAGATCTGACAGACAGACACACAGTGGTGGAGGAAGTATTTAGGTTCTTTACCTCGATAAGACTAGTAATAGCTTAATTCATGGTAAAAACACTTTATTACAGGTAAAAGGCCTGCATCGAAAACATTGCTTGTATATATGGCAATGTAAGTTTATTCAGGAAAATATAAAGTGTTAAAAGTAAAAATGCATAAGACAGAAAACTGGCTCCTGTAAGACTTGTTTTGCTATAAATTATATCACGTTATTATTTGTGCCTTATTGCATAAAGAGCATTTTGGAGCTAATTTGTCAAAATTAAGAAAACGGTGAGAAATACCCATCACAATGAACAAAGTCAAATCAAACTTTAAATAAAGTGCAGTTTCACACCAGTATCAACACACTTTACAACAGCAGCAAGCAAAATAAACATCAAATACAGTAATAAAGTACAACATTGTAATAGTGATAAATAAAATAAGACAGAACATTGAATAAAATTAACAGTCACATTTTTCACTAAAAGTTAACACATATAGATGTTTTTTTAGCTTGGATTTAAAAACTTCAGCAGAGTAAGCGTGTCTGAATTTTTAAGAAAAGACCCTGTGACCAGATGACTTCTTATTAAATCCAGGGACAGACAGAAGCCCTGCATTCTGAGAGCAGAGGGCACAGGCTGGAATATAAGGTTTCAGTGGAGCAGACAGGTACCAAAGGGCAATTCCATGTAGGATTTTATATGTCATTAGAAGCACCTTGAAGTCTGATCTAGGGAGCCAATGAAGGGAAGCTAGAATTGGTGTCAAACTTTTTGGATTCTGTGATACAGAGACATGATTTAGTGTCTCTGCATCTGCCATGGACAGAAAAGATTTAATTTTAGCTATGTTGCAAGGTGAAAGAAGGCAATCTTGGCCACGTCTTTAATGTGCTGATCAAAGGAGAGACCAGGATCAAATGTGACACCTAGTCTGGCTCTGAGAAATCACAAAGTTGTCGAGACTTATTCTTAACTGATAAATCTGGTGTCTGGCCAGGCCAGCGGCCAGCATATCTGTTTTATCTAAAATTAGGAGCCAGAAATTTGACATCTTATTGTGATAGGCAATTAGCCCAAAGAGAAACCCTCACAGTGCTCGCTTTGTCGAACCAATAGTCCAAATTCAAAATTACAAATCCATACTTTTCAAATGAAAAGCAGAAAATAATCCTATTTAAGAAGATGAAGTCATGAAATTCTTGTAATTTTCAAAGAAACTGCCAAAATAATTCTCACTTGTATATACTGTTTGACAGTTTGATTTGATTTGATTTGATTTATTCTTTCAAGCATGTAAAACAGTTAAGATGACAAAACACATAATTTTACACATAATCCAATATCAATTTGCTTATACCTAGTACATGCTTGAATGGAGTAGGAAGAAGTCAGACTTATCCAGTCCTACCCCATGACATCATCTTACCATCATTGGTTTGCAAGCAGTAAATGATTCACTTCTACCCACACACATATTATACTAAAAAAAGATTATAACAGTGTTAACATTCTTACATAATTACATTCTTAAATAATTATCTTCTACACCACACAAGTAATATACTAAA